AAAAAAAAAAAAAAAAAAAAAATGAAGATCACCTGAGACCAGATGAAAGGACGGCAGGCCCTGCACACACTCTAATCTTATCAGCAGCCCCACCTTTGAACTATGGCTATAGAACTCCTCACCAAATCCCCCTGGGTTAGGATGCACGGGGACACACAGGAGTCTCTGCTGGCGAAGGAATAAAGCGAGTCTTCTCTACTTCACCCAAAACTCTGTCTCTGAGATTCGATGCGGCACAGGTGCACAGAGGCCGAGTCCAAGACTCTCAGAGGAGAGGAAAGAGGATAACACATAAGAGAAATGGAGGACAGGATAACCTTGAAGTTCAACTGGGTTGGCGGTACCAAAATCGTGGATTCTCAAAGCTCTGCAGGGGCCAACGGAATCCCAGCTCTCGTAGCTCACTTTGGCGGTTGACCATGGCTGGTGCTGAAGATGAAAATGACTCTCTAAGCCTCTTGGAGGTGAAGCCATTTGCCTCATTTGACTTCTTTCTTCAGGCAGTGGAGTCAGCTTTGGCTAGATTTGCATCTCGCTGTTCTGTTTAAATGGAAGTCAGCGAGCCTCGCAGGCTTCCAGGCGGCCCCAGGTTTCCACCAGCATGGAAATTTAGAAGGCTTTGTCACTAAAGACTGACCTGCAGCAGTTAATTCCTTCCATGCTGGATTGCTCTCCTAGATGCCTGCCTCGGACTTCCTTTTCTAGAGGGGTAGCTTGGCCAACGTGCTTGTTTTTCAACAGCATCCACCGCGGCAATTCCCGAAACCAGGAGCTTCAGCCAGTCTAAATGTTTTGACAACCTAGTTTTCTTTGAAAAAGGTGAAATTCGTGCCTGAAGTTCAGCCGGGCACAATAAGACCCTGCCTCTGGAAAGGCATAAAACATCTATCGAAGTAGCAACCACTGTCACCCTGAATCCATTCGGCTCTGATGGCTTGGATGGCGTCATGGCAGAAGACAGCATTTTTTCTAGGAGAGAGTCTGGGCCGCAAGCTCATGCTGATGAGGAAACAGTGGGTCATGATTTGATAACGGGTGCAAACTTTTGTTCTTCTCAAAAGGAGCAGAGTAAGAGGCATACGTTTTCTAGGTATAACAAGTCCAAGCATCTTTCCTACAGCCAAAGCTTCACCAGGAAAGGAAGCCTGTGGACATTCTGAAGAGTTTACCTGCCTTTGATGTTTCCAAATGGGGCTCACACAGAAATTTTTGATGTTGCTCAGGGGCACATAATGAGTGACACCCAGCATCTGTCAGAAGCAGAGCTAAAGGCAAGGGAGGCGCCAGCCTTCATTTCTTTCACAGCAGCTTCAAATATCACAAGAAGGGCAGGGCGTGCTGTGGTAGACAGCATCATGGGGCACAGGCATTGCTGCCGTCTCCTTTCTGATTGAAGCCATCAACACCTCAACCTTTTGCATGGGGCTGAGCTTCTCTGGCAATGAGATAAGCCACCACAGAGAGTGCTTCAAGACAAGGGATTTGTGCTGGAGCAAATCCAAATTTTGATAGAATCCAATTCTTTTCAAATCATGAAATGGATGCATAAGTACACAGCAGGGTGTTCCTTTAGTTGTGTTGGCCTCATACATCCACTGGCAAGGAAGCCAATGCACAGAAGCACTATGGTGTTTGTTTTCCATCATGCACATTGAGTCCTTTCTCTTGCAGGCGTTTCCAATTTAAACATGATCCATAAAAATAAGCACAGGTGTTCATAACTTTAATGGCAGGGTATGTTTTCAGTTATTTCACTCATCCCCAAACTATCCTACACATCATAATATGTGTATAACAACAGTTTTTCCTTCGCTGACCATGTCACCCCATGCTAGTTTAGTGTGAAAGATTACTATCATAACACAACCCTTGACAAGTTTTTTTTTTCTCCACAAAGACAATCCTCCACTTGGAGAAAGAAAAAAAAAAAAAAAGGAAAAACAATTGGGAGTCTAGTTCTAATTTAGCTAAGTACAAAGGAGATGTGACAATAATCTTAAAGGGTGTAAGTTAAAGAAAACATGCTGCAGCTTGGAGTCCAGACCCAAGAATGAACAAATATTTATGACTCTAGCTTCGGTAATGTATTTTCTTAAATGAGCAAGTGCGCATACGCTCATCAGCATAGTTTCAAGGAACTTTTAGAGTCGAGACAGAAGGTCAGTGGAAACATGGATAATTAAAAGATCCTTCTGAGAGTCAACCTTGCAATCCCCTTGCCAAATACTTGAAGGAGTACTTTGATGAGCCAAAAAACAAATATCACATAGAACAGCAATATATGCATATATATATATATATATGTATATATATATATAATCAAGAAGAGTGATTTGAAATTCTGTACTGAGACCACTGATACCCATAGCCCTCCAACAAGTAAAACTGCACATTTAAAAAGTGAGGGGCGGGCTTCCCTGGTGGCGCAGTGGTTGAGGGTCCGCCTGCCGATGCAGGGGACACGGGTTCGTGCCCCGGTCTGGGAGGATCCCACATGCCACGCAGCGGCTGGGCCCGTGAGCCATGGCCGCTGAGCCTGCGCGTCCGGAGTCTGTGCTCCGCAACGGGAGAGGCCACAGCAGTGAGAGGCCCGCATACAGCAAAAAAGCAAGCGCCCGATAAAGAAAAAAAAAAAAAAAAAAAAAAAAAAGTGAGGGGCAACAGCAAATGACTAATGTTTCCTGTATCCATACATATTCCACAAAGGCACATGCTAAATGCTTTATATTTTTTCATTGATTAATCCTATGGCTCTATAAGGTAGTTACCATAATTACGTCCATTTCACAAAACTCCAAAGTCCTATGCCCATAGAAAGGCTTTCTCTCATGATCACTTTTGAGAAATTCCTTAATCTGTAATTTTATACAACCTGGGGGCTTTTACTAGGCATAAATATTTTATCCAAGAAATTAACTGTTACGTACAATAAGCTCTCTGTTGTTAACCACACTCTAAGCCAGAATATATACCTGATTAACAATAACTCATGCTCTGTCCTTTCATCAATTATGATTAATGTCATTCTAATGATGACCCATGGGTATTGTAAGATGTCAACTACTTCTAAATCAAATGACAAAGACTGAAATACGGTCATAGAATTTTAGGAGGGTTATGTTTACTGGATGCTAGTTATTTAATATGACCCATCTACTGGCGTGACATCTGATACCCTTTCATTCACGTTTGTTATTTACAGAGACACATCAGGACGACTGGTGTTATTAGCTCTCAGAGAGGCCGGGACCATACTACTTGGTGAGCACATTGCGACCGTGCTGGATGATGGGTAATTTATCTGAGAGTCAGTCATGCCGTTAATAAGGATTCTGACCTGTGACCAGCTCCCGGATCTCCAAGTCGGTGGTCTTGCGGAGCAACCTGACCAGTGCCGGGATGCCGCCACAGTTCTTCAGGGCGATTTTGTTGTCATCGTTGGCTTTCCCATACACCAAGTTTCTCAATGCCCCACAGGCACTACGGTGGACTTCCGTCATCCGATGGTCCAGCAGGTCCACCAGGAGCTGAATACCTCCTTGTCTCCTTATCTGAAGGAGTAAAGGAGAAAGGAAGGTTGCCTTAGAGAGGATGATTTCACTATTTAAACCCCAACAGGTTTTCCATATGAGGTACTTGCTATCCATACAATTAATTACACTGAACTGAATGAAGGCCTTTTACAAAGGGAAAAGAAAACAAATTATTGTTCTCTTTAGATTCTATTGCTTTTACTTGTTTTATATCCTACCAATAAAAATTCAAATGCATTTCCTTTCAAGGCGCAGAATTTTGAAAAGATGATTTTAACCCCCTAATGGGTGTCTCAGCCATTTCTCTCTACAAAAATATGCCACAGGGCTTCCCTGGTGGTGCAGTGGTTGAGAGTCCGCCTGCCGATGCAGGGGACGCAGGTTCGTGCCCCGGTCCGGGAAGATCCCACATGCCATGGAGCAGCTGGGCCCGTGAGCCATGGCCGCTGAGCCTGCACGTCCAGAGCCCGTGCTCCACAACGGGAGAGGCCACAACAGTGAGGGGCCTGCATACCGCAAACAAACAAACAAAAAAATGCCACATACTCAGGGCATGAAGCAGATGGACGGGCAAAAGAATGCTTCTCACTCCTAAGACTTATTAAATGTAACCGCTGTCTTAAAGGGCTGCAGGATTGCTGTACAAAATGGGAAAATGATGCTTAATAGGGGAATGCTTCCAACCTTTCAAAGGAACCAGAAGCCAAATGAAAAACCAGAAATGACACAAGTCTTTTCATCTGAGAAGACCTGGAAACTAAGAATGTCACCCACAATGGCAGCTGGTCTGAACACGAGGACCGAGTCATGTTCTGCAGAACGTAGGTATTTGATTAATAACAACATTAAAATAATATTCATTTGGGTGTTCTTTTTACCCAAAGAAAATGTTTCTTTTTTTAAATAAGTAAAAAAAAAAAAAAAGCCCTTGCACTATGTTTCCAGATGTGTTTTCTCCTTGCTGTCCTTTAATAGTCAGACCCATTTCAAAATTTAAACTGCAGACAAATGGTCTGGTTAACATACAGAACATTTCATGGAGTTTTCATTAGCAGAGCTGTATTTGAATATTTCTGCATTTGGAAGAATACATACAATTCACTCAGTAATATTCTTTCCTTTTTTTAACCTCAATATCCCTCAGGGATTGAAGAATTATAATTTGGCATGAATGAATATAATCTGACACCTTCTCTACTTAGTTTTCTGATTACAGAAAACTCATTCATCCTACAGATGTGCAGGGGCACAGGGCTGGATCCCCAGACTCTTTCAACAGTGCTCCAGTGCCACGTTCCTAAAGGAGGCCACTCAGCTACACTGTTTAAACCTGCCATATGAATCACACCACCTCCCTAATCCAGTAGTCGTGTTTCACCTTAATCTATCATAGAATCCTTCATAGCATTTGTCCTAACTTCTTTATTATGTTTCTGGTTATTGTTTGTCTTCTGCTAGAATGTATATTCTTGGAAGGCAAGTCTCTTTGTGTTGTTCATTGGTAGAACCCCATCCCTATTCCAAGTGCAATGCCAGGCACACAGTAGAAGTCCAGTAAGTATTTGAGTAAATGCGGAGGAATTACTTGTTACAGCAGTGTTTCTTTCTCAGGTCAGCTAACTCAAAACTGAGTAATATTCCTCTTTAAAGGAAAACAAAACAGACAAACAAACAAAAAATCGTTTTGTAAACATCTAAGAATGTCTCCAAGGGGCTACTGCAGCTCTTCTGGGGCCAGCTTACAAAAAAATGAGGATGCATGTCTCACACATAAGGTGGACCATCTCATGATTCAGAATATGCCTGGAGGAATTATTTTCATCCATCAACCAAATGAAAACAGAGAAAGTTGAAATCCTCCCAGAACTCATGGACTCTAGGTCCCTAATTTAGAAAACATGACTGTGGTTTCGCACCTCCCGTGAGATCAGGACCAGGGACAGAGGAGAGGAGATCTCCACACACCTCCACCCCCAGAGGGGGACAGGGGTGTAGAGAGAGGCATTAATGTCCCCGAGGTGCCTGTACAGTCTGCACTGGTGACAGCACCGGTGGAAGGTGGCTAAAGGGACCATTGGGGCAATTAGAAAAAGCTACCAAAGGATCAGAAAACCACTTTTTCTCAACTTACAGTCTGACCCAGCACCTGCCTGGCACTCACCCAAGAGAGCTGAAGTCTGTTGCTATACACGTGTCCCGTAAATACATCTGAGCTTTAACACATGCATTTTATTTTTATTTCCATTTGTACAAAAAAGGTTAAACTATGAATGTCATTTTCTCAATGTGTTGTGTCTGCATGTATGTGCTGTATGTTAAAATTATCTAGGTTTAATTAGTTTAATAATGAAACTATTATAAAAGTGGTAATAAAGCCATTCTTACAGTTCACCAATGGGTTATGTATTAAAGGTAAATGGTGAAGTAAATGCATCTATGTCTCTACCTTAGCTATTCTGTAGCTTATAGTTAAGATTTTTCCTAATTTATGATAATATACTTCCCATTCATATAACTTAATGAATTAAGCTATTAAAATACTATTCCAAAGCTTGAAAAGGGAAAATGAATTCAAAAATGAAGGCAATATCAATTCTCAATGTATAATGAGAATATGCCGTTTTCAGCGTGACCCTAATTAATGCCATATATCCAAATTTATAATGAAACCTTCAATTCTATATTTTAACCCATTTAGAGCAACACAAATTAAGATGATAAACTTTTTCATTGGCTCTTATTTTGAGGGTCACCGGATCATCAATATAAAAAAAAAAAACCTTTTGTTTTCTTGGGATTGAATTTCACCTAAGATTATGAGAATCCCACTTCAGTTTTCTGAAGCCAAACATTCGTCAGAGTTCACTGTCACAGACGTGAATGTGATGGTCAGGTCCTTGGTTCTGCAGCCTCCCGGCTCCCAGCAGGACCCGAAAGAGAGCCGTAGGGCAGACTTTCAATTCCCTTGCAGGGTCTTGATTCCTTGCAGGACCTCTGGTGATATGGATGGGTCCAATGGTGCCCTCTTCACTTCCCCTCTGCTTTTTCCCCTGGATGCTCTCTCTCTTCAACTTCTCCTGGCATCCAATTCTTCTAGTTTCTTCTTGTGTCCAACCTTAAACTCTTATAAGGCTCCAAACAAACCCACTGTAAACATTAACAAAGTACAACTCTCTTTGAAAGATGATCAGGGGAATCTCTCCTTTTTAAAAAGGTAGCTTTACTTCCTCTCCCACTATTTTTCTTTAAAGCAGTCTATTTTTCTTTAATCCTCCCCAACGATCACTCCACATCCAAGAGGCGGGGCCCTTGTTTTGGTCCCCATGCCATCATTTCAGGCCAGTGTACCCTTTCTTCTTCCTCCCTTCATCATCCTCACGCAGAATTCTTCAAAAGTCAAATCTTTAAAAATTCTAGGTTTACTATTATTGAAACCAAGTCAATAAAATATTATATAATATTATACCCAATCTCTACAAATCATAACAAAATCAAACCCACTAGCAGAATGCCTGTCATAGAGCGCTGAGTCAATAAATATGGATCAGATGAGTGGAAGAATGGTACAGTGCTTATCGTATGTCAGTTTCCTTCTCTCTCTTTAAAAAGTTTTTTTTAACAGATGTTATTTTTTAGAGCAGTTTTTTGTTCACAGCACATTTGAGCAGAAAGTACAGAGATTTCCCATATACCACTGCCCTTACACATGCACGGTCTCCTCCATTATCAACATCCTCCCCAGAGCCCTACATCTGTTACGATCTGCGCACCTACACTGACACACCATTATCACCCGAAGGACACAGTTTACATTAGGGTTCACTCTTGGGTGTTGTACATTCTATGGGTCTTGATAAACGTATAATGACATGTATCCACCATTATAGTGTCACATAGAATAATTTCACTGCCCTAAAAGCCCTCTTTGCTCTGCCTGTTCATCCCCCCACCCCTCCTCGTGAACCCCTGGAGAAATCACTGATCTTTTTATGGTCTCCACGGTTTTGCCTTTTCTAGAATGTCATTGAGTGGGAATCATCCAGTATGCAGCCTTCTCAGACTGGCTTCTTTCATCTAGTGCATGCATTTAAGATTCCTCCATGTCTTTGCACAGTTTTGACAGCTCGTTTTTTTTTAGTGATGAATCACATTTCACCGTCTAGAGGTAACATAGTTGATCCATTCACCTACTAAAAGACATCTTGGTTGCTTCTAAGTTTTGACAATTAGGAAGAAAGCTGCTATAAACATCTGTGTGCAAGTTTCTGTGAGGACATACATTTTTAACTCCTTTGGGTAAATACCAAAGAGAGCTATTGCTGGGTTGTACAGTGAGAGGATGTTTAGTTTTGTAAGAAACCACCAAACTGTCTTCCCAAGTGGCTGTACCATTTTGCATCCCACCAGCAGTGAATGAGAGTTTCTGTTGCTACACATCCTCACCATCATTTCGTGTTGCCAGTGCTCTGCATTTTGGCCATTCTACTAGATTGTAGTAGTATCTTATTGTTGTGTTTCTTTCTCTTTTCATTCTGTGTGATTCCAATTTATTTACATTAATACAAATGATTGAAAAAAAACTATCAATACTGAAATACATATAGGGAAACAATAGCTTGAGTTGGATCTGGACTGAACAAATCTCACATCTCCTTTCTTGAACTTGACAGGGAATGACTGGAAAGGGCTTTTCATACATAATCTGATTTTTTTTTTTTTTTGCAGTACACGGTTTTTGTTTTGTTTTGTTTTGTTTTGTTTTTTTGTGGTACAGGGGTCTCTCACCGCTGTGGCCTCTCCCGTTGCGGAGCACAGGCTCCGGACGTGCAGGCTCAGTGGCCATGGCTCACGGGCCCAGCCGCTCTGCGGCATGTGGGATCCTCCCGGACCGGGGCACGAACCCGTGTCCCCTGCATCGGCAGGAGGACTCTCAACCACTTCCCCACCAGGGAAGCCCTGATTAGACAATCTTAAATTCGTTTATTAAATGATTCTTTGATACATGGTCCACTTTAGTT